TAAGAGAGGAGGCACGCATTGCAGAACTACAGCGCCAAGAACAGGAACGTCTGAGAGAAGAGGCAGGCATTGCAGAACTACAGCGCCAAGAACAGGAACGTCTTAGAGAAGAAGCACGCATTGCAGAACTACAGCGTCAAGAACAGGAACGTCTTAGAGAAGAAGCACGCATTGCAGAACTACAGCGTCAAGAACAGGAGCGTCTAAGGGAGGAGGCACGCATTGCAGAGCTACAGCGCCAAGAACAGGAGCGTCTAAGGCAAGAGGCGCGCATTGCAGATGAACAAAGACAGGAACAAGAGCGCATTTTGGAAGAGACCTGTATAGCTGAGCAAAGGCGTGTAGATCAACAGCGTTTAATTGAGGAAGCACGTATTGCTGAACAGCAGCGGCTGGAAGAACAACGGCGTGAAGAAGAGCGAAGAAAGGAAGAAGTGCGTCTTAAAAATGAGCGCATGCTTGAACAGCAACGTCTTGAAAAGCAAAGAGTTGCAGAACAGAAACGCCAAGAGCAGCTACGTATTATGGAAGAAAAACGTATTGCACAGGAGCAAGAGCAGCGACAAAGGTCAGAGCAGTTGTTACATCAGCAAATAAAGAGACAAGAAGAACAGGGAGGTGAAAATCTGTATGACGAAGGTCTGAGAATTCCTGGAATAGATGACAATACAGAGGTGGATGAGGAATTCATTGAGCAAGAGAAGGAACGTATATTGTTGCAACAGCAGGAACGCCTTCAACAAATGCAGAAACGTGAGAAAGAGAAACAAAAGAAAGCCTTGCAACAGCAACAGATGTTAGCAGATGAGCAGATGAGAAATGAGCTAGCAAGAGAAAAAGCAAAAGAAGAAGAATTGTATTGGGAACAGCAACGCGCACTTCATTTGCAGGAAGAGGAAACAAAAGTACGCCAACAACAACAAATGTTACAAGAACAACGGGAGCAACAACATAGGGGTAAGTTCTAAAGATATTGAATTTTGTAAATATACAAAGAAACTCTTGCTTTACTTTGGCAAAATACATGTAACCTTAACCAGCCAGAAATATGTTTTCAACTAAATAACACAGCTCTCATAAATATGCAGTGACATATCCAGCAGTGGGCTAAACAGGTGATTCTGACCCACCCCTCCAGTTTCACTGTAATTTTGAATTCAGTATGCACTTAAATTAACTAAGATGTAAACTATATTCTCAGGTGCCTTGCTAAGAAGTCCACCAGGCAGAGTTCCAACTGGTCAGCCTGCTCCAAATGACAAGCCATTTTTGCATCAAATTCCTGGACAGAAGCCTCCATCTCTAATGTCCAAAGAAGTAAAGCCAGCACTCCGTCCACCTGGAGTAGATGATGATGATGATGAGGAAGACGAGGATGATAATGAAGAAGAGGAGAAGGCCTCTGAAAGCATCCGCCTACCTCAGGCTCTGGAGAAAGTGCTGCAGTTTAAAGATGTTCGTGCTCAAGAAATTGGCGGAACAGAGGATGATGGTAAGAGATTTCCATTATCAACTTCAAGATGTGCAAGTTTTTTGCTTTTTAAAAAATTATTCAATTTTTAAATATACATGATGTTATTCCACCCAATCAGGTTGCATCATTTGCGCAATTAGGCGTCCAATTGAATTTATTAAATTCAATTTTTCTCTTTAAATTGCAGACTGCAATTTAAATGTTTATAAGGTAAATGGCAAAGATGATGTGTTTTTACTTTAAATTTTAAAAAAGAAGTAAAATTAATTCTTTCAATTTGATGCAATTATGAGATGGTTTTTCCTTATATACATAAAGTATATATAAATAATTCCAATAATGTTAATACAGATATGCAAATTGAGGCTGAAGATGAGAATGAAGTGCCGCCACAGGAAGAGGAGGATGAGGATGAAGAAGTGGAAAAGGAGGTACCTAAAGAGAAGAAACTTGTAAGTTTATTTAACACTAATTTAGTTTTTCTGCTGATATATGTCTTTTTTTCTAATTGTTGGTTCCGTTTGTAACCAACACCTTGTACAGTAGTATAACTTCAGATATTGTGTTTAGTAATTTCATGAACAATTCCAATGGATAATATATATTTATTCGCTTCAAAGAAAATATATATTATTCCATTACTCAGGGTTGTAAAGTAAACCCCAGTGTTTCTCATTGTTTATTAATTTAAAAATAACCCGAGACAATTTTAAATTAAAGAATTTTTTTTTCTCAACAGACTAAAAACCAGAGGCGAAAAAAGAAAAAGAAGAAGAGGCAGGCTGTAAGACGGCAACAACAACAAGATGAATCAAGAAAAGCAGATGATAAAGATGGTGAAACTGAAGATGTTGTAGTGGAGTATATACCTGAAACTTTAGATGTGATAGATCCCACATTCAGGGAGTTTAGAAAAGTCTTTGAAGCATTTAAGGTAAAGTTTAAAAAAAGAGAGCGTGTTGAATTTCGTAGATAATTGTATTGCATGGATTATTGATGGTGAAAATAGCATATTTGAATAATCTACATGACCTGTTGTTAAGCATAATTGCTTTTAAATGAGGCTTTCAAAATTCTTATTTTGTTTGTATTTCTAAGGACAGTGGCCTGGTATTCAAACATTGGGTCGTGACAAAAACTCTAGACATTTATTGGGAATATATATTTCTGTAACTGTCATGACATGGACTTAATTATTTTCATCTTTTTAAAGCCCTGTTCATACTATCAAATTTTATTTGACCAAAACACGTGACATGCCTAAATATGGTCATGATGACATCACATCATCACTATGTTTATGTCCTGGCTGTATATGGTCATCCAACAGTTTTTTTGTCAAAGAAAATTCGGTAGAATTGTGTGGAAAAAGCTGTAAGCTATGTCCAGCCTGTCAAATTTTATTTGACAAAAACATGTGACATGCCTTAATATGGTCATGATGACATCACATTATGACCATATATAGGCACATCATGACTATATATGGGCATACAACAGTTTTTTTTTATCTTGCAGCTGGCAGAGGCTCCGAAAGTAGAACCTAAAAAAGCGGAGCAAGTACCTGCAGTGAAAGCAAAGGAAACCAAGAAGGAGACGGAAAAGAATGAATCCGATTCAAGCAGCGATGAAGAAGACATGGTAAATAATGATCATTATTATATAATTTATATTATAAGCTTGTATAGGGCCTTTCTTTTCAGTTCTGAAGCGCTGTAAGTGACTCTCTACAATAATTCAAAAACATCCCCCTGAGTAAAGCTTGCGTAGAACCAAACCAAAGCAAAGTGTGCTGCTAACTTAACTAATGCAATAAAGCAGTAGAAAAATAAGAAAACAAACAAAACAATAAGGAAATAGGTGTGTTTTTAGATGGACTTTGAACTACCTAAGCGAATCACAAGATCTGAGAAAATTAGGCAGACCATTCCAAAGTTGGGCAGCAATCGAAGAGAATAAAATGAATTAAAACACAGGTTTTTTTCCTTGTAGAGTAAGGTTGAAGATGATACCCCAAAGATATCAAAAAAGAAACTACGTAAGTTGAACCGTTTAAGTGTTGCAGAGCTGAAGCAGTTGGTTTCAAGACCAGATGTAGTAGAAATGCATGATGTCACTGCTAGGGACCCCAAGTTATTAGTTCACCTGAAGGTAAGATTAAAATCCTAAAATAACTTGCAAAACTTTTAAAAGTAATAAACTGATAAGATAATTTTTAATTTAATTTTAATTTTTTAAATGTTCCCATGGAGGTATTATAGTAATACCTCCATGATGTTTTTAATATAGTCATTTTTTTTAGTTTCAACACCAGTAGGGAGTCGACCGACCAATACATGTGCAACAGCGAGAGTCAGTATTGGCCTTTCCGCCGAGGGGTTGGCTGAAAGAAATTGTTTCTGCTCCTTTCTGCTGTAGATCCCGGTTCAAATTGGTCAGCTTCACATTATAATGGGAATCGCTCGGCTCCTCCAATAACCCTTGTATTAAGAGTTAGGCGGGCTAAGGCTTATATTTGTATCTATGAATTCGGTACACGCTGTAGTTAAGTCGGATAGCGCTGCACTGCGGCTGCCGCAGTCCCCAGGTGCACAGCCCAAGTTTGAGATTTAGACATCATAAATAATCTGATTGCAATTCAATGCATTTTGTTCCATATTGCAGTCAAGTAGGAATACGGTGCCTGTTCCAAGACATTGGTGTTTCAAGAGGAAATATCTACAGGGCAAGAGAGGTATCGAGAAACCCCCATTTGAACTCCCAGAATTCATTAGGAGGACTGGTATTATGGAAATGAGGCAGGCCCTTCAAGAAAAGGTAAAAAATATTGAAACTGCTTTGTCCAAACGTTAAGGGTGGTATTGTCACTTTGCTGGAGTGAATAGTATTAATACTGGAAGCAGTATAACTGTTGAATGGAATATTCTTAAATGCGAGGTGAAAAATGTGTTGTGATTAATCAATATGGTGGTCTGTACATTTGTTATGTTTACTAAATAATTTCCATTTTTTATAGTCAGGATGGCAATGGACTCTAAGGGCTGCATAACTACTGCTATTTTGCTGTAATAAATGATGATTTATTTTATACTTTACAGGAAGATCAACAGACAATGAAAACCAAAATGCGACAGAAAGTGCGACCCAAGATGGGCAAGATAGATATTGATTATCAGAAATTGCATGATGCATTCTTCAGGTAATTTAGGCTGATCAGATAATGCTGAATCTGAAAGTAGTTTAATAAATCGGTATTAAATTGTTGGTTTTTATGATGTAAATTGAGCGAAGGAAATTTGTTATAGAGCATCAAGGGTCCCACAGAATCAGATGCTTGATGAAACATTAAATTAATCCTTTGTTTTATTAAAAATGTTGGGGCTGAGGCAAATTTTGTATGGTCAACAAGTATATATCAGTATTAATTGGGCATGATCGAAATACCACAGGAAATGTTGTTCAGCATCACTTTGCATTTTTAACAGGAATTTAGGGGTTAATTAAACTTAATGAGACTAGACTGCCATGTGATGTATCTGAATGAAACTGTGCCTCATTTTTTAACATATTCATAATCGTAACTTTGTGTAAATATAATATTGTATCAACTCGGTTAAATATAAATGGTAACCAAGGTATAGCTAGAGCTAGTCGTGTGTGGCACCAATCCTTATCGGACTTAAATTTCAAAATTGTGATATTATATGAGGCTACCATCCCAAAACCAGCATCAGTAACCAATATATGAAAATTCACTTTACTGTATAAATATGACATTCTTATTCTCAACATTATAAGCTTTAAAATGATGGGTCATTTACTGAAATTGACTTAATATTGCCAAAGTTATGAGCTTCCCTGTACCAAAGTACAAAGTATGTTAATTACTAAGTTTAACAATTGGCGACAGTACACTGGTTTTAGGATGGCAAACCTTGGTTATTGCTTCATAAGCTGATGGTATTACTAATGTGTTGGGGTGTTTTTTGTTTTCCAGATGGCAGACGAAGCCAAAAATGACAATCCATGGTCAGCTGTACTACGAAGGCAAGGAGTTTGAAACGAAACTTAAAGAGAAGAAGCCAGGTGATATTAGTGATGATCTCCGAGTTGCTCTCGGGATGCCTGTTGGCAGCGTAAGTTAGTTATTGACGCCTTTTTAATTTATGATAATAATCGTAGACGCCGTAATCCTAACAATGGCGCCCTCAATCGTAGAATTATTGTCATGGCGCTGTGAGTAAATGCACTTAGATGTGCGTGTGATTTAGTATGTTCTTAGGCCATAGATTTTGTTAGACAGGCAGTTTTGTTTGTGTTGTGAATTGGTCGTTATTACTCGATTTTTCTTGTATTGGCCACTGAGTTGACGTTGATTATTATTGTTTGTGTTCATTGTTTTACCACCAATAAATATTTTGACTGATTCTTTTCTAAATTGATTGTTTTATGCATTGACAAATTAATTATTTACAACCGGATCCACAACATTATTCAGCTTCCTCTCTAATTAAGATTTTTACAGAAAAAGGGTCTAAAATAGAAAACCAACGTATAATTTATACTTATTTTCTAAAGTTTTGTTACGGTTCAATGGACTTTTCTTTGTCAATCAAACTTAACAACTGACCAATCAGAACAGGGCCAGGGACCTTAGCAACAATATCCAAGGGGCGCGGTTTAGCAGAAAGGTCTATTGCACTTTGATCTTTATACTTGTGTCCTTGTTTGTATGCCTGTCGTCCTGTTCTACAGGAATATTAGTGTACTTGGTAGTTTCACATGTTATGGAGTGATTACTAACTGTAGCTTAGTATTCCATAGGTATTTGCTCCACTGTCCAGGGTTTAAATGAGAAGCACAAGATGAGATCCTTGTAATTTGCACCATATATGCCAGACATAATTATTTACTAAAATGAAAAAAAATGTAAAAAATACTGAAATATTAAAGCATCATTTATTCACTCCTACAGACAGCACAATCAGTTCCTCCTCCATGGCTGATTGCCATGCAACGATATGGACCGCCACCATCCTATCCAAACCTCAAGATTATGGGCCTCAATTCTCCTATTCCAGAGGTAAGTGCTCAATGTTTTTTTTTTTTTCTCTTTTCAATTTATACAATCGATGTATGATAACAAGCATTGATATGCATTTTTCTTAACCTGTGCATCTTTTTTTTCTTCCTCATAGGGATGTTCATTTGGGTACCATGCAGGTGGTTGGGGTAAACCCCCTGTAGATGAAACTGGGAAACCCCTCTATGGAGATGTATTTGGAACCAATGCAAGTGATTTCAAGGTTAGAATGCAAATTATTTTGAATACAGTACTTTGGAAACATGTACTTTCTCAATTGTAAATGCTTATTGCTTTGAGAAGTAATTAAGAAGCTTTTCAACATGGATTTTAAAAAAAAATTAACAATATAAATAATAATTAATAGCAATTTTTTGTTATTATTCAAAATGAATTACTAGATTGAGGAGGATGAAGAACCGCCAGAAATGGCACCATGGGGAGAATTAGAGAGCGAATCGGAAGAAGAGTCGGATGAAGAGGGCTCGGAGGATGAAGAGGAGGAGAAACCAGATGACACTGGGCTCATCACGCCAGCCGATGGGTAAGTTTATTGAGAGATAGTAACATACCAAAGAGTATAGTAGGATTGCAAGAGGTCCGACTATCTTTATTTTTGCATGCACACAATGAAACAAAAAGTACCACAAGAAAGGGGGCACCTTATTAGAATTTGAATAGAGTTAGAAACTTGAACAGACGCAGAGATAATATTAGTACTTTTTCAGGATATTTCAGGGAAACCTCGCCTGTCAAACCTCTTGCCAATTCTCTTTGAACATACCCACAAAGTAGTTTTTTTTTTGCCCACTACCCTAATGAGAAGTATTTTGGAATTGCAAGCTGTTTCACCTGTCATAATTAGCTGGGAGCCAGTATTTTGATTGGTTTATATGTAAATTAGGCAAGGCCTATGCTATCAGAATTTTATTTGCCAGCCTAGACAATATTTGATCAGAGTTGATAAAATATTAGCACTCTCCATTTCCAGTGGATCTTTCTTTTACACCTCAAGAAGCATTGTATTAACTTCTCCATTTTAATTGAATTTAGTGGGCTTATCACACCCAGTGGGGTGACATCCGTGACAGCAGGTCTAGAAACACCGGAGATGATTGAGCTTAGGAAAAAGAAGATAGAAGATGCTATGGATCAAGGAGGCGAAACCCCCGCGCTTTATACCATCCTGCCGGAAAAGAGAGCCAATGTTGGAGGAGCCATGATGGGATCCGCTCACGTCTATGACATTGGTGCTGCTGTAAGTTCAAAAGGAATTTGATAAATAATTTAACTTTTTTGGGGTGGGGAATGAGTTAAATTCTTTATATGTGTGAATTAATAAGGTTTACCATCCCAAACCAGCATACTGTTGCTAAGTGTTAAACTGAGTAATTAGCATAAGAATGTGGCTGTATTGTATACTTTAGTAGAGAGAAGCTGTAATACTTTTACTCATAACATTGGCAACAGTAAGTCTATTCTAGTAAATGGCCACCTATCATTTTAAAGCTTATAATGTGGAGAAAAATATGACTATATTAACAATTCATTTTTCTAGCACTGATGCTGGTTTCAGCATGGCAAGCCCCAAATTATAAAGTTAAGAGGTAGTCGCACTGTACATATTTTATGATTTATTAATTAACTGATTGTTTATTTTAGGCCAAGAAACCAGGACAGTCTGGATCAGAAGTAGTAGCTATTGCCCTCGACCCCAGTGAGTTGGATCTTGATACCGCAGCCATGGCGGCTAAGTAAGTAGATAGTACAACAACTGTTTGCTGAGTCTTGTACTTGTTAACACACTGTACACTTTAATGAATCTTGAGGGTGGAATTACATGAATCAAATTATTAATTGATTATTTTGTCTCTAAAGGTCTGTCCACATCATCAAATTTGACGAATGTGATATGCCCATATTGGGGTGTAATATGACATTATCATGCCTATATATGGCACTTTGCATAAAATTTAATAGTGTGGACAGAGCATTAGATTCATACAAATTTGCTCCGTTACTGTGGGATAAAATAGATTTCCAGATTTCCCTTAATCCCAAGAGATTAAAATTAACTAAATATTATTTATCTATTAATTTCATCCCCATCTTCAATATCAATAAACATCTCACCTGAGAGATCATATTAAGATTAGCTTTAATCTCTTGATGTTTAATCTCTTGATTTTATATTGTATAGTTTAGCTTGATTAGCTTTAATCTCTTGATTTTATATTGTATAGTTTCTATTTTTCGTAATTAATCATCTTAGTTCATTTTATTATGCTATGATAATTGAATGAAATAAAATATACCAGAATAGAAAATGTTAAGAGCATAAGATTCATACAAATATGCACTATTACTGATTGTGGGATGGAATGGATCAATCTTAGTATAGATCTTATAATGGAATTATAGATTTCCCTTAATCCTAAGATATTAACTAGATATTATTGATCTTGATTAATTTAAATCCCCATCTTTAATATCAATAACAACTCTCCTGAGAGATCATTAATGAAAATTAGCTTTAATCTCTTGATTATATGAACGAATTGTCAAATGAACAATTAATCTTTTAATTTTAACTGTCATTAATGAACATTACCTTAATCTCTCAATGTTAGGAATTAATTTATAGATGAATAAAAATTAAATGAATTAAATTTTAATTGAATAATTGGATGTATTTATTATTTTTCTTGCAAGGTATGAGGAGCAAGTAAGAGAACAGCAATCACATCTTGAGAAAGAAGACTTCAGTGACATGGTTGCAGAACATGCTGCTAAACAAAAGGTAAATGATATTAAAGCAATTTATTCTAGTATAATTTACAGTAACCCCTCCGCCAAGGAGGTTATGTATTCACCACATTCACCTCAAAGACCAACTCAGGCAGGTATGATGCAGCTCGACGCAATTGACTGTCGTAAGAGATTAAACATTCTTTATATTCTACGAGGCGACTCTCCCCGAGGCAAACCATTGGGTTCCGTGTTTAACCCCCACGGACCCGACATGACACAAATCGCGTCGGGCTGCATCGTATGAATTAGCCTTAATGATTGGAGTCATACATGAGTCTAAAGCCGTCAAGACTATCAAATTCTATATGACAAAAACATGTGACATGCCTAAATATGGTCATGATGACATCACATCATGACCATATATAGGCACATTTTGACTACATATGGGCATAAGAAAGTTTTATAATCTGAATTTTAGCTTAAGAAAGGGTGGTTAAATTTTTGAGTGTACAGGCCGCCTTAAACCTGGCTTGTTTTTGTACATGAATAATAATAATAATTTGGTCTGTTTTGGTTTTTTTTCAATCTTTCAGAATAAGAGGAAAAAGCAAACACAAGATACTGGACGAGCACCCAAGAAATACAAAGAATTCAAATTTTGATTCAATTTTCCTCCCTTTGTATTTAATTTCAAATGTTTTCCTTGTACTTTAATCCTTGAGGTGGTTCAGATATTGCATTTCTGAGGGAAAATCTGCGACTTCTCTGGCTGAGGACATGCCTTATTGTGTTATGAAATTGTCAATAATTTTTATAACAAGAAATATATGTATCACATTGTGGTAAATTATTTACCCTAATTAAATGTGGGTTTTTATCACTGTGACTGTTTACTAAGGTGTATTACAGTGAAATTATGTGTGCACAACCGATGTTATCGTAGATAAGGCAAGCCTTTATATTTTGGCACACTGATGTTCCATTCAGCTAAACAAGCACTCACCTCTAGAAGTGCTGACAATTTTCAAAATGCGGTAAATTTTTTCGTTCTTTGTTTTTCATGTTGTATTTCAAACCTGGCTTGGCATATAGGATTAACACTATTCTGCAGTGAAAGTGTACATAATATATATGAAGTTGGCCATCCCAAAACCAGCGTACTATCGCTAAACTGAGTAATTAGCATAAAAAAGTGACAGTATTGTATTCTTTAGTACAGAGAAGCTGTAATACTTTTACTCATAACTTTGGCAATAGTTGATTCCAGTAAATGACCTATTATTTTAAATCTTATAATGTGGAGAATAGGAAATATTTAAAAAAGTCAATTTTCTTGTTTTGATCACTGATGGTGGTTTTTGCATGGCAAACCCCATATTACAACACCTATTTCTTTGCATATCACATTGGATAAAAATTAATGTTTTTGTTTCATTCATTCATTCAGATTTTTTATCCTACAGTTATATTCTGAACAGTGTCATCATGAGATAGGTATGAAAATGTAGGATGGGATTTTTTACCCTGTGTGCGCTTATGAGATCTTGGTAATATGAAACTACCTAAATCTTGTGTCCACACTCAAATTATTCTATGCGACAAATTTGTGTGAAGTGCCCATTATATGGGCATCATGGTGCCATATTACACCCAAATATGGGCATGTCACATTTATTTAGTTTGATAGTGACAGAGCTTAACAAAATGAGAAAGATCTATACAGTAGGTGTTGTATAAAACTAATATTTCTCATGTCTTGGTAAAGCGTTACTTGTTCCACTTCTTGAAAATATTCTAAGCTATTATTTCATATGTCAGTCAATTTCTTCATAACAAATATTTTGAATTAAGTGTAATTCTATTTCATAGCTGTACTGCATAAATCACAAACACAAAATTTATAGTTCATAGTTATTTATTTGTAATTTCGGAGAAGTTAATACCAGTTTCGGAGTAAGTTCTACCGTGCATACCCAATTTTTAAATACACCCATTTCATAATAAAGTGTTAATTGTCTGCAATCCATTTCAGATGAAAAGCGAATTAAAAATCATGTTTCCTAGAAAACTAAGTTTATACAGGTCTCCCTCCAATTAAAGACCACTTTTAGGACTGGGGTTTTCATGGTCTTTAGTAGCTTTTGGAATAATAATATAAGATAAAACATTTGTTACGTTTGGTTAAGCTTTATCTCACTGTAAGACAGCTTCCCACTGTAGCAGTTTTATGGAAACCAGAGCTCAAATTCCTAAAAATTTTGCACTGATTGTCGGTGCATTATAAAACTAGTGTAAATGATTTTGCTAAGTAATTTGTGGAAATAAATAATTTTTACAATGTAAGTCAAATGTTTTTGTGATTCCATAGTGTTGTATGCAATTTAGATTAAACAAAATGATGCCCTTCCCATATTTTAGACCAAAAATGAAAAAAAAGCTTCTGATTGCACAGCGACAGGGGGAAATGACAGCATAGTGTAATGACAGCATATAAATTAATCTTGGCCCAAATCTTTGTTTCCCGGAGAGCACAGAACGGTTACATCATCGTACAAATTGAAAGCTTCCTATCAAAGATCTTATAAAACCAAGACAGCGTTTTCTGCAAATATCTGCAAAATTCTGTAATAATGCAGTGTAGGACGCCCTCTTGCAATTACATATATCTATAAATTCTGGAACAACTAGGACACCGTCTCTTAATTGCAATTACCGGTACTTTCTATTGCTTTCTGCGTGAATGGATGCCTCCTATTTCGTTACATATGCAAACCACGGAGAGCACTATGGTGTTGTTATAAGGTCTTTGCTTCCCATTAACTAAATTTGGATGCGTGTCAGTTCCCAGTGACGACATTTAGAGCTAGTCAGGCAGTTATTTGTATAATAATGCAGATCTCTCCATTTTTCTTGGGTACAAGTGCACAAAACTGCTGTGAAATTTTTCCCCTAATAATCTGGTCCAGTCTGTTCACCTCCCACCCACAGCTATTGTAAGCTGTCACCTGGGGGTAAGAGTCTTCCCTTTGCTTTTCTTGACATCCATCTTCCATGCTGGCAATTCTTTCTCTACCATGTTCCAATATGATACCTGAAATTATATTATGGATTATTAAGTATTTGTACAGTAGTGTTAATATAAATTCAAAATGGGGGGCACCAAGGGAAAACTTGTACATAATCGGAGCTTTGCAATGGGGCATGGTCTAGGTGAGGTTGACAAAATAAGGTGATTTTTAACTCTTTTTTTGCTTCAAAAATCACCTGTGGTGAAGGGGTGCCACAGGTGGTTTTAGGTACACCCCTAGATATACATTGCTGAATTAATTACAGGATAAAAAGCAATAGAAAAATTTTGAAAACATGATGGGAAGATGCCATCCAAAAATGAAGAATAAGGAGAAACTAAGCCACCTCTAGTTCTGTAAAGTTTCTTGATGCACCAGATTTTGCTCCACGCTTCAGATTTTCTTCAGCCTTCTCTAGTTTCTATCATAAACAAAAGTGTACTGATTAGAAATCACTACTTATTTGTGTTGGTATTAATAATATACAGTACCAAGGCTATATGAAACTAAAATTTATTTTTTAATAGACCTTTCCGGTGCATCAATCAAACTTAACAACTGGTCAATTAACTGACCAATCAGATAAGGTACAGGAATTTGCACATGTTTGCATATGTTTTAACACTGTTGTTTTGTGAGACTTCAGCAACAATAGCCATTGGGGGGGGGGGGGATTAGTGGAAAGGTCTGCTGTGTTGAGTTGATGGTGTAAACCAGACATCTTTCAGTACAAAGAAGCACACCAATCAAGAATCTGTACTACAGTGTTAGTGGTAACAGCTCTATGCTTAATAATGTACATGCTAGAAAATCTTACCAGGGAGGAAAGAATATTGTCAATGTATGTTTCTCATTTTTTTTTCCAATAGTCAGCAGTGTAATAGAGCCAGTGGTGGATCTAGGAATTTGAATTACAGTAGAGGGCCTTCTATCAAAGATGGAATAGTAGCCGGCTACATCAGCTGGACCAACTCTGGGCCCCCCTTGAATCTGCCACTTTGAGCAAATAGGATGCCTTTCTGAGATTGATTGTATGAAGTGCTACAAACATTATTTGTCTGTGCCATACTTGAAGTAGTACGTGATTCCTCTTCTTAGCTCTTGTCCAACTTTCTGCCAAATGACTGTTCTTTGCTGCACTTTCATCCAGATGCCATTCAGAACGTTTTAATAGCGCTTCTCTTCTCGTTAATCTGAAACCGTAACTGCAATTGTTAATATAGAGTGGCTGATCCAGAGGGTGGAGAAAGGGCTAACAACATTTTTTTAAACAAATGTAACCCTCTCCCACCCAAAAAAAAAAACAAAAACAAAAACAGAATATAAGAGAAAAGGGATGAAACGGAAGGCGAAAGATGGGAGCACAGTACGAGGCTAACTTTAAGGGATCAAAGCTCTTGAACCACCAGAATGGTAACAGGGCACTTAAAGCTACTCTGCGTGGCCCATACAACTAAACATTTACCCCCCCCCCCCCCAAAAAAAAAAAATGGATCCAACACTCTATCTATTAATCTGATATCTTTATAGCTTGATACCTTGGGTTTGTTTGAAACATAAAAATTAATAAAAGCATTAGATTATAAAATGTAAAGTGTGCTAAAACTATATTTTATTATCAGAGGGAGAAATTTTGTGGTTTATAATATAGGATGCCCAAATTATGCTTTCAGATTGGAAAATCAGGGATTGGAATCACAATATTTGAGTCATTGGCAAATTAACATTTTCAGTCCGGTGAACTCGCCATGTTATTAAACTACAGCAGGAGGAAATATCACCCACTAATCACTGATTTCAGGAAGTAAATGGTGGTGTGTGGTGGTGCAACAGCAAATGACCAAAACGGCAATAAACCAAACAGTAAAACTTGTTTACCAGAACTGTGAATGAATACAGGAATCGGCTGTGAATCATGACTGAAGTGCTTAACCGAAACCAACATACAACCTAAGTCATCTGTATTCTTGCCACTTTGGTCATTTTGTGTTGTGGTACCGTTTTGGTTTATTGCCATTTTGGTTATTGTTGTTTTGGTTTATTGCTGTTGACCTGATAATGAAGTGGTTGTATGCACCTTAGTCACAATGCATAACACAGCAGCAGTAAAGCTAGATCATACGGTAATCGACTTACATATCTTCGTGAGCTTTGTTCAGTTCCAATTCCCTTTCCAACCAATAATCTAATGGTTCCATTGCGTAGCTAGGCAAACTGAGAATGATTTAAGTAAATAATGAAACAGAATATTCCAAAAATGTTTCCAATAAAGTAGCAGCTGCAGCATATTGAATGAAAAAGCTGAACTAATAATGATAATAAAAACCAATACCAAAAGAGAAAGAAATTCGAACCTAAACTATCCTAGGCCTACTTTAATAGTTTATTTGAAAACAAGACGTGAATTGGGTCAATTGCCAATTTTAGTTCTAGGCCTGTATTAGTGAGCATATTTATTAGGTAATTAATTTACGAATTAGGCAGCTAAAAATCGTTCTAGCCAAGTACTACTAGGGTGGCCTACTACTAGGCCTAGGTAGGCGTGCCTACTACTAGGCTAGGCCTAGCATAGAGGTGTAGCAGCAGAGACCAGACTCTCTAGAATCTAGCCTAGGTACTAGGCTAGGCGCCTAGGCGATAGGAGGGTCTAGCCTAGGCTAAAGATATATTAGGGCAACAGGTTACAATTTGATTTACTTATTTTATCAATTCCACTTTATTCTGTGCGTAAACTAAGAGAATACAGGCGAGAATACATCTAACTTTATTTAGGATTTCACTGTGTAGCGTCCGAAGTTGCTTAGTAGTAGGCCGCCATATTGTGTACTGGTTGCCTAGAGCCGATGAACTGTGTCTTCTTATTGGTCAGTGATAGGCCAATCATTTGGACTTTTGATCGAAAGCTCCGCGGGAATTACAGTACTACTTATTGATACTTATTATCTACAGTATATTCTGTGGATGGTTAAATCATGTTTTTATTTATTTTATTTTATATTATTTTATTTACTTCTCAATCTACAGATAAAACCCTCACTAACAGATTGGAGAAAAACATACACATATTATAGGCCTACTAGGAAACAGAATATCCGTAAAACCTCTAACAGATGGGCTTCTTTTTTTGTGATAGGCTTCTTTTCAAGGGCTGTTTTTGCAACAGTGGCGTAACAGGCGGGGGCAGGGGGAAGACTGCCCACCCCCTAACGGATTTTACCGGGCTGACCAAGCCGTAGTACCGGGCTGGGTAAGAAGAAAAAAGAAAGAGGGGAAAGGGAGGGAAAAGAGAAAGGAGAAAGAAAGGGAAAGAAAAAGGAAAAGAATAAAGAGAAGAGAAAAATAAAGACAAAAATAAAAAGGAAGATATAATCAACAGATATCACAATACCCAGCAACCCCTTCTCCACTTCAAAATGTGTCCATATCGCATTTGATCTAAACCGCCAGATATTCTCTGCAGTGGCGTAACCACCGTTGGACAAGGGGAAATATCCATCTATGGAAAATCTTTCCCCATTGAAGATGCCCTTATCACCCCGGAAAGTGCCTGGTTTTTTTGTTTTTTTTTGTGGGGTAGGCCAATTTCCTCTAAAAATTGCACATTTTAGGGAGTTGCTCAATTTTGACGAAATTAGAATTAAAAACAAAAAATTCTTTCGCGCGTATTTTTTAAGGGTAAAGTCAGCTTTAAAAAAACGAGTGTGGCCATATATAACATAAGCGCATTTCTTGTTGAGGTAGGCCAATTTCCTCTAAAAATTGCACATTTTAGGGATTTGATCAATTCCGACGAAATTAGAATTAAAAACACAAAAATTTGTTGCAAGCTTCGCGCGCATTTGTTAAGGTTAATGCTTGTGCTTGCCCTCCTATGCCTTCTAAGTTATTTAAACACATAATAGGCCCAACACCAATAGAAAGAACATTTAAGATAGATCGTTTTACCTAGAAGAAGGGCCTTAATGTGTATTGATGGTGAAGGAATATGTTTGTAATAAATAAAACCATTATGAAAATGCTTATATTTGGTTTCAAACACACGTGTGTGGCCTATATTATAAATAAGATAAGCCATGTCGTATTGTTTTCTATATG